ACACAGCATCCTAAAGCCGTTGAGGGTTTCCCCACCACTCCCACTCTGTTCCCCTGTCCCACGGGGTAAAAAAAACAGCTCCCCAAGGACACTAGGAGAGATCTCTGGTGCCACCTAGCGACCAGAAAAAAAAATCACCAACACCCCATAGAATAGGGACCTTTCTTCAGTAAAGACTGCTTGAAACCAGCAGAAGGCTCCTGAAGGAGCCAGAGTTGAGCTGGGAAGTTCGCCCACTCCAGGCCCCTTCTGACCAGCAGTCCGAGCCTAGAGGGGAGCGGGCACCCACAGCTGGGGCAGACCAGGCGCGTGGAAGAGTGTGCCTGTCTCCGAATCGCCATTTTAGAATAGGGACCTTTCTTCAATAAAGACCTTTCTTCAGCAAAGACTGCTTGAAACCGGCAGAAGGCTCCCAGAGGAGACAGAGGTGAGCTGGGAAGTTCGCCAGTGCCAAACCCCTCCTGGCCAGCAGTCCGAGCCAAGAGGGGGAGCGGGCACCTACGGCCGGGACAGACCAGGCACGCAGGGGAGTGCATACCTGCATCGCCTTTTTAGAACAGGGACCTTTCTTCAATAAAGGCTGCTTGAAACTGGCAGAAGGCTCCCGGAGGAGCCAGAGGTGAGCTGGAAAGTTCGCCCAAGACAGGCCTCTTCTGACCAGCAGTCCGAGCTCAGAGGGGGAGCGGGCACCCATGGCCGGGGCAGCAGGGGAGCGCGTACCCACATTGCCTTTTTAGAACAGGGACCTCTCTTCAATAAAGACTGCTTGAAACCGTCAGAAGGCTCCGGAAGAGCCAGAGGTGAGCTGGGAAGTTCGCCTATGCCAGGCCCCTTTTGGCCAGCAGTCCGAGCCAAGAGGGGGAGCGGGCACCGACAGCCAGGGCAGATCCAGTGTGCAGGAGAGTGTGCCTGTCTCTGAATTGCTATTTTAGAATAGGGACCTTTCTTCAATAAAGACTGCTTGAAACTGGCAGAAGGCTCCTAGAGGAGCCAGAGGTGAGCTGGGAAGTTCGCCCAGACCAGGCCCTTTCTGGCCAGCAGTCTGAACCCAGAGGGGGAGCGGGCACCCACGGCCAGGGCAGATCCAGCGTGCAGGAGACTGTGCCTGTCTCCAAATTGCCATTTTAGAATAGGAACCTTTCTTCAATTAAGACTGCTTGAAACCAGCAGAAGGATCCCAGAGGAGCCAGAGGTGAGCTGGGAAGTTTGCTCATGCCAGGTCCCTTCAGGCCAGCAGTCTGAACCCAGAGGGGGAGCGGGCACGCAAGGCCAGGGCAAACTGGGCGCATGGAAGAGTGTGCCTGTCTCCAAAGCGCCATTTTAGAACAGGGACCTTTCTTCAATAAAGACTGCTTGAATCTGGCAGAAGGCTTCCTGTGAAGCCAGAGGGAGAAGGTTCCCTGCACAGTCAGAGGTGAGCTGAAGGCCCCCACAAGCCCAGTCCCACTTGGCAGGAAGTCGGAGCCCAGAGGAGGATCCAGAGATTTGGAACCCAGAGTGCAATCCAGCTGCCCCACCTGCAGGGAAGTCTGTGGGACTTCAAGACGCACATTTGTAACTAAACACAGAAGGAGGAGAGATTCTGTGACAGTGACCGTTAACATACTCAAAGTACCACTGCCTCACTAGACTCCTGGCATAACAGTTTTTGACTTGTTTGCATGGCAAGTTTCTGAAACTCCTGAGAGAACACACCAAAAAGATGCCAGCCAGTACCAGTGGCAGAGTGTCCCAATGCATAAAGCAAATTAGAAGACAAGCAGCAGGGAAAAGAAAAACTACAAGCAAAGTAACAACACCTCAGAAAAAAGACACACCACAAAAAAAAACCAAAAACAAAAAACCACCCACCAGCTTGCAACTACGGTGACTTGGAAGAACTTCTGAACCTTCCAGAAAAGGAATTTAAAATTGCCGTGATGGAAAAACTGATAGAAATCATTAAGGAAAACAATGCTCAGAAGAATGAAATTGAGTCCCTAAAGAGGGAAGCCATTAAGGAAAACAACGCTCAGAAGAATGAAATTGAGTCCCTAAAGAGGGAAGTAAAAGAAATGCAGGAGATCAAAGAATTAATGGGGGCGCTAAAGAACTCTGGGAAAAGCAATGAAAGCAGAATAGATGAAATGGGAGAACGAATAAGTACTCTTGAAGACACAGAAATAAAAAGAACCAAAACAGAAAAGGAAAGAGAAGTACGAAGGAAAAGACCGAAGAAAGACTTTGGGAACTATCTGACTCCATGAGGAAAGGAAATATAAGAGTTATAGGAATTCCAGAAGGAGAGGAGAGAGATGTAGGAACAGAGAAAATATTCAAGGAAATAATTGAAGAGAACTTCACAAATGTGAAGAAGGAGCTGAAAATTGATATATATACAAGAAGCAAGAAGAACACCAAACTTCCATGACGAAAGGAAAAATACAGCAAGACACATAATAGTAAAGCTCCCAAGAATCTAAGACAAGGAAAAAATAATGAAGCTGACAAGAGGGAAGAAACAGATAACATTCAAAGGAAAACCAATCAGACTGACATCAGACTTCTCCGAAGAAACACTACAGGCAAGGAGAGTGTGGAGGGACATAGTCAACAGACTCCAAGAAAACAGATGCCAACCAAGAATACTCTATCCCGCAAAGCTCTCCTTCCTCTATGAAGAAAGAATAAGGACCTTCCCAGACAAAGAGAAACTCTGGAATTTCGTTACGACTAAACCCCCACTCCAAAAAATACTACAAGGAATCCTAAAGCCAGAACCTCAGAGGGATGAATAACAATGAAAGAAGGCCAAAAAAAAAAGTTATTAAAAGAATAAATAAATAAAATCAAAGGAAAGACAAACACAATGGCAAATACAGATGCTAACATATTAATATTAACTCTAAATGTAAATGGACTAAACTCTTCAATAAAAAGACACAGAGTCGCAGGCTGGATTAAGAAACAAAACCCAACCTTTTGCTGTCTCCAGGAAACACATTTAGCTACAAAAGATAAAAATCAACTCAAAGTTAAAGGATGGAAAACAATCCTACAAGCGAATGGACCAAAAAAGAAAGCAGGAACAGCTATACTTATATCAGATAAAACAGATTTCAAACTCAAAAAGGTAAAAAGAGACCCCAACAGTCACTACATTATGATCAAGGGGACAATACTTCAAGAAGAAATAACACTCATTAACATATATTCACCAAATGAAGGAGCAACAAAATATATCAGACAACTATTAACATCTTTGAAAACAGACATCAGAGAAAACACATACGTGGGAGACTTCAACACACCACTATCAACAATGGATAGATCGACAAGACAAAAAATAAGTGAAGACACTAAAGCTCTAAATAAGGATCTAGAGCGCTTGGGCTTAACAGACATCTATAGAACACTAAACTCCAAAAAATCTGAGTACACATTTTTCTCAAGTGCACAAGGATCATTCTCCAGGATCAATCACATACTGGGACCCAAGACAAACATCAACAGATTCACCAAGACTGAAATCATACCAACCATCTTTTCTGACCATGAAGGCATCAAACTAGAAATAAACCATAAAAAGAAGGCAAGGAAATCTCCTACCTCATGGAGATTGAAACCCACACTACTGGAAGACCACTGGACTAATGAGGAGATCAAAGAAGAAATTAAAAAATTCTTTGAATTGAATGACAAGGAGGACACCAATTTCCTAAATGTATGGGATGCAGCAAAAGCAGTAATAAGAGGAAAATATATAGCAATAGAAGCTCACATCAAGAAACAAGAAAGAACGCAAAGAAACAACCTAATCTCGAAGTTCAAAGATCTAGAAAAAGAACAACAAAAAAACACCAAAACCAGTAGGAGAAAAGAAATAATAAAAACCAAAGCAGAAATAAATGAAATTGAAACTAAAAAAACAATCCAAAAGATCAATGAAACCAAGAGCTGGTTCTTCGAAAAAATCAATAAAATAGACAAACCCCTAGCCAGGCTCACAAAGGAAAAAAGGGAAAAAGCACAAATAAACAGCATCACAAATGAAAGAGGAGAAATCACAATGAACACAGCAGAAATCAAAAGAATAATCAGAAACTACTATGAACAGTTATATGGAAACTAGTTCAACAATCTAGAGGAGATGGACAAATTCCTACAACTCTACAATCACCCAAAGCTAGATAAAGAAGAATTAGAACACCTAAAAAGACCAATTACAAGCAGCAAAATTGAAATGGTAATCAAAAACCTCCCATGTAGGCTCTACTGGGAAATGTATTTTAAAATTGATTTGTTTCAGTGATTATGGTAGGCATTGTGCACATCAAACTAAAAAACAGAATAAAAGCAGGAGGTGAGACATAAAACACACCAGCATATTTAAGTCTATATTATCAGTGAGATGAGTTAAGGTGCTTAAACAGAAAAGAATGCCAGACCAAATGTGCAAATGTAGGTTCCAATTTTTCCTTATAGTAAAACTACATAAATGGGTTTAGTTGCCAAATACAGTTTTTTTCATATGTGTAACACAACTCATGATGATTCATTCAGGAAAAATAAAGAAAAATATTTGGGATGATATATGTTACTTGAGAAGAAATTATTCTTTAGCTATACACAGTTCCCCACTAAAAAACAGGAATTACTGATTATTTCTTTTTTAAATTTTATTTATGTATATAACAACTTGGTGTAGGTCTGAGGTGTGGGGGCTAATGGGATTCACCAGAGACAGAGTGGGGAACAGGATAGGTGGATCTACTGAAATACACTGCTGAGGGTGCAGTGGGTGAGACAGGAGAGGTCTGCTGTGCCATGTGTGTCAGCTCCCCAGCCTGCCCAGAACTGATAACAGCTTCATAGCACTGTCTTTAACCACTGCACTACCAGGGAGGCCCATATTTCTGAAACAAGTTTTGCAAAAACATTTTGGAAATAACATTGGAGTGACTGAGTATGTATCAGAGTAGAAAGCATACTAAAATGAGTTAAATAATTATATAGGGAATTTTATTGGCTAGAGGTCAAGGAAACGGAAAGTCCGGATATAAATATGAAAAAACAACTTCAGTTCCCTTATTGTGATGACACAATAGCAATTTCTGGGTCCAAGACTTTCAGCCCTGCACTCACAGGCATTTCTTCAGTCCCCAGACAATTTTTGTAATATAGCAGCCACTCCAAACAGTTTTTTCAGAGCCCCCTTTATGTCTTTGTTCCTTAGACTGTAGATGAAAGGATTCAGCATGGGTGTGACCACAGCGTACATCACCGAGGCTATTGCACTTGAATGTGAGCTGTGGGAAACGGCAGAACTAAGGTACACTCCAAAGGCAGTGCCATAAAATAAGGAGACAACTGAGAGGTGAGAGGCACAGGTGGAAAATGCTTTATGCTTCCCCTGAGCTGAAGTGGTTCTACGTATGGAGGAAAGTATTTTAGAGTAAGAGTAAAGGATCCCAGTGAGGGGCCCCCCAGCCAGGAACACCATTAGAAAATATATCACCAAGTCATTAAGAAAGGTGTCAGAACAGGAACACTGAAGAACCTGGTTGAGTTCACAGAAAAAATGGGGGATTTCCATGTTTGAACAGAAAGATAGTCGCAACACCATTAGGCTATGTATTAAGGGATTCAAGACACCCATGCTCCAGGACACCAGGACCAGCAGCCCACAGAGCCGGGGGTTCATGATGACTGTGTAGTGCAGCGGGTGGCAGATGGCCACAAAGCGGTCATAGGCCATCACGGTCAGCAGGAAGTCATCCAGCCCTGTAAAGAGTATGAAAAAATACATCTGGGTGATGCAGCCTTCAAAGTTTATGGCTTTGCTCTGTGTCTGGATGTTGACCAGCATCTTGGGGATGGTGGTGGAGGTGAAACAGATGTCCACAAAGGACAGGTTGGAGAGGAAGAAGTACATGGGGGTGTGGAGTTGGGAGTCTGATCTGAAGGCCAGGATGATGAGCAGGTTCCCCAACACAGTGATGAGGTACATGGAGAGGAAAAGCCAAAAAATGAGGGGCTGCATTTCTGGTTCCTCTGATAACCCCAGAAGAATAAATTCTGAACTTTGAGTATCATTCCTTGCTTCCATGTGGGCCAGGTGATGACTAGGAAAGAAAAAATAATGATTTATTTTTCACAAATGGGCATTACTCACTTCTAAGAAATGGTATTATGTATTTTTCTAGTGAAGAAATAAATACCAATATGATTTTATGGAATATTTCATTTTTACTTTATCTCTTGTGTCTCTCCAATTGGATGAGATCGTGTATTTTGTGGGTCTGGTAGTCTTAATCGGCCTTTTGGCCACCATTATTGTTACGTGCAGTTCTGTATTCCTCTACCAAGGTCAGAACTGCTCGGTCAATCAGTCATAGCAAAATCTTACAAGGTGCCTTTCAAATCAAGCAAGAGTAGAATGCTTGATCACTCTGTGAGGGGTATGCATCATGAGTTATGACTGGGAACGCTTGGGGGGCTGAGGACCAGTGTATGATAAGGGACCCCCCAGCTGATCAGCGGAATGCCTTGTTGATAACATTTAAACCAAGGCCGGGGTCTGGGGTCTGCTTTCGATTACAACACTTGGTCATCAAGCAGATAAGAATTACCTGGTCAGCAGACTCATGTTCCCCAGAAGCCCTAGATGAAAAATCTCATTCTTTAGTTTCAACCATCTTTTTCTCTTTGTTCTCCTAAAACACATGACTGATGCTGTAGGATTAGTCTGTCAATGAAAAAGCCACGATCTTCCTTGTTTAGCAGCATCCTGCATTGTGCAGCCTGCTCCATGTCTCCCATTTCTCTATCAGGGTGGTGTTGCCAACACAACAGGATGCCGAGAAATAAAACTCTGTAATTCATTGACTTAGAAACAATATCTAAGCGAATACAAGAACACATGATGTGTCAGATGGTGACTATTGCTATGAAAAAAAAAAGAGGACTGATGTAAGGAAAGTGAAGGTGAGGTGTTATCTTTTTTTACTTGGTGTTTAGGCAAAAGCTGTCAACAGGGCACATTTGAATAGAAACCTCAGGAAGGTGGGCAGGAGATGCAAAGTTGTCCAGGGAACTGTGTGCATGCAGGGAGAACACAGAGCAGAATTCTTGAGGAAGATACTATTTGTGTTTTTTTTTAAAAGGTTTTTTTTAAAGTTTATGCTACAAGAGCTGGGGTATAGGCCAGAAGTGTTGGGGTAGGGGTTGAGAGAATTCACCAGAGACAGAGTGGGGAGCAGACAGGCGGACTGACTGAAACACACTGCTGAGGGGAGCAGTGGGAAAGGCAGGAGAGGTCTGCCGCGCCATGTGGGTCTCCTCCCTCCCGGGGATCGAACTAGTGCTGCAGTGGTGTGGACAGCCTCATAGTGTTAGGGGGAAAAGGATGTCCTAAAGCTAATTCCATACAGGCTTTGTGGACTCCACCCCCACCCCAGGCCAAAGCCAAAGACACTGGGAACTCCAAATCCCATCACTACCAAAGGGAAGGTAGCCGGGACCTGAGGGTGGGGTTAAGCAGCCAGGTTGAGATAAAAAGCAGACACGTGGGCTTTGGGGCGGTTCCCCATTTTGGCTCTCCGCCATCTTGCAGCCTCCGGCCAGCTGAGAGTAACTTTGGGTTTCCAGGTCGGCGGATCGGGTAGGATGCATTAAAGACTGTATTTCCCTATTTTCTCCCTGAGTTGTACATTTTCCTTATTTCCTTTTTCCTTGTAAATAAACCTTTTATTAACCTTTCATGTGTGCCTGTAGAGGAGTATTCATAAGTCTCTTTTAAGTGCGAGGGTGAGGACCCACAGCCAGGAACCAGTTCAATATCGGGGCTGCTCTATAACAGCGGGAGGGGCCTCAGGAGGGGCCTGGTTACGTGGCGAAGGCCTTTGTCCTGAAGCCTCAGGAGTCTGTGCGGGAGGGGCCTCTTCACGTGGAGATGGCCTTTGTTCCGATGTGTTTAAGGTATTTAGTAAATGATATATATATATATATATATATTTTTTAATTTTGCCCTTTTGTAGTCCTTATGGGAAGGAGAACGTTTATTTTTTTTTTTTTGTACCATTAGCCTAGTTTTTGCCTTCACCATATTTTATTTATGGAGGGCGGCCTGTATTTGGTTTTGTATATTTTTAAAAGTTGACTTAAAAACGTTATGATTTTTATCTCTTACACTTAATAGTTAAATTAAAAGCCTGATTTTGTTGTTGCACTTGATTCTGCATGCTTTGAAAAGCTGGCTTAAAAGTTTGATTTTGTTGTTGTACTTGATACTGTATGTTTTGAAAAGCTGACTCAAAAGTTTGATTTTGTTGTTTTATAGTTAAGAGTTTGAATTTGTTGTAGTACATTGTTAGTATGTGAAGTATAACCACTACTTTTTATAGAAACAAGAATGTAGCACATGGCGCCTATGCACATTACCAAAAAAACACCCAGAAGCACACATTGTAAAGGGATGGCTTGTAAACCACCCACATATGTATATAGAAGTAAAATTATGTGTCATACACTAGGTTTAATTTAATTATTTACATTTATTAAACTGGTGGTAATATTTAACGGAAAAAGGCTACTTAAATTTAAGGCCAGAAAAAAACTGAAAGAACTTAGGTTAGGGATTAAACCACTGAAGTTTATGGTTGAGGCCACTTTTGGGTCAAAACCACACCCACAAGAGCCGTATGCGCGGAAAAAAAAAAAAAACAGACTTTTTAAGACGTGAAACAAAGAGTTTTGCTGTGAGTCCTGTAGACCTAATATGCTTTATGGTGACCAACACAAGAAAAATTATTTTGGGCTGGTCAACCACGGGTGAAGCTTGCAAAGCACGTTGGGCGCCAAGCTGTTATAGAGCAGCCCCGATATTGAACTGGTTCCTGGCTGTGGGTCCTCACCCTCGCGCTTAAAAGGGACTTATGAATACTCCTCTACAGGCACACATGAAAGGTTAATAAAAGGTTTATTTACAAGGAAAAAGGAAATAAGGAAAATGTACAACTCAGGGAGAAAATAGGAAAATACAGTCTTTAATGCATCCTACCCGATCCGCCGACCTGGAAACCCAAAGTTACTCTCAGCTGGCCGGAGGCTGCAAGATGGCGGAGAGCCAAAATGGGGAACCGCCCCAAAGCCCACGTGTCTGCTTTTTATCTCAACCTGGCTGCTTAACCCCACCCTCAGGTCCCGGCTACCTTCCCTTTGGTAGTGATGGGATTTGGAGTTCCCAGTGTCTTTGGCTTTGGCCTGGGGTGGGGGTGGAGTCCACAAAGCCTGTATGGAATTAGCTTTAGGACATCCTTTTCCACTTAACAATAGGTTGCTTTTTAACCCCTTGGGCCACCAGGGAGACCCTGTTTGTGATATATAAGGCACAAAAGGAAGCCAGTGCTTCAAGCTGAATGAACAAGCAAGAGGGAGATGATGAGAGATGGTGTCAGAGAGGTAGAGGGAAGAAGGGGCTCCCTGCTGCTCCCCAGGCTTCAAGAGCAGACACCCTCTACCATCTGCTGTTCCCTGCATTTTAGTAATGTTTCCAGGGAATTCCATGAATAAAAATGAATCTCTTCCTTATTTCACTAGTAATTTTACACTCTTGTGTCTGTTTTTAAGGTTTACTGTTTGGAGTGTGTGAGTTCTGGTACCCTTGTCCTGATAAGCAGAAATTTTCAAGAGCTTAAGAACTTATGGAATAAAGAATGTGAATAAGAGTGAAATTATGTTAAGAATAGTGGTTTCAAACAAGCATATAAAGCAAGGTAGAATGAAATCTAAAGCAGAAGGCAGGCAGATAAAGACAAACATCACATGGTCTCACTCATTTGTGTAACTGGAGAAACAGACTAGTGAGGGAAAGTGAAAAAGTGAACTTTTAGATTAAAGACCTATTAGTGGGTACCAGAGGGGAAAGGGGAGTGCTGGGGAAATTGGGACAACAGATTGGTGAAGGGCAGACGGATTTTTAGTTGTCAACTTAATGTAGAATTTTCACATGTTGAGTTTTAAAGACACACACCTGAAACTTGTACAGTGCTACAATGAAATATTATTCCAATAAAAAATTAATAGTTTAATGCCATCAGGATGGTCATGATTCAAAATTGAATTGCCAAAGCTGGTAAGTCAAACATATAAAAGAAGGGTTTTCTTTTTTCTTTTAAGATTTATTTATTTATTTATTTTATACGAGAACCAGGGAACAGTACAGATGTGCAGGAGGTTGAGAGAATTCACCAGAGAGAGCAAGGAACAGAACAGGCAGACTGATGAAATACACTGCTCAGGGGAGCAGCGGGCGGGACAGGAGAGGTCTGCTGTGCCATGTGGGACCCTCCAGCCGGGATGGAACCAATGCTGCAGAGGCTGCAGACAGCTTCACAGCGTGGCGCTCAACCGCCTGCACCACCATGGGAGGCCCTTTTTTCTCTTTTTCTTTCTTAATCTTTTTTTTTTTTAATTGAGGTAATATTGGTTTACAATGTTTGTATCTAGAGGTATTGCTCTCCCCCTGCAGGTGTTGCTACCACACCACACCCACCACCAAACACCTGAGGCCTCCAGCATAATCCACTGAGCTCCTTTCCCATTTTGTTTCTCCCCTCCCGCTCTGGTAGCCTTGGTTCTACAGTCAGAGTTCTAGGGTTTGTTAAAGGTTTGGTTTTATTCAGCTATTTGTTTTCTCTGTATTCCACATATAAGTGGAATTTGTCTGTATTTTTCTTTTTCCTCTGCCTTACTCAGAATGCATAATCTCTTCCATACATGTTGCTGCAAATGATAAGAGTTTGCTAAAAGAAATTTTTGAAATGGTTGAGGAAGCACTAGCTAAATTATAATTTCATGGTATTTATGATATTGCAGTGACAGCTCAACCATTCCTGTAAGAAAAAATTAAGAAAAGGCCATGGAAAAAGCCAGCCTGACTGTTAGATTTGCCCTCACAAAAAATACAAACACTGACAATTTCCCCCAAATACATCAATACATACATTGAAAGAATTGAATGAGAAACTGCAAAGTTGTTGCAAACAGCTCCAAACCTAGTTTGAATGAATGCAATGAAAGCAACAAGGAAAACACTCTGACTCCACAATGCAAAGGTTAAGGTCTTGCAAAGACAGTAACAACAGAGAAAACAAATGATGAACCACTTACAATAAAATAATTGTGAAGTACAATGGAACATTACTCAGCAATCAGAAAAAGATAAACTCATGCAATTTGCAGCAACATGGACAGAGGTGGAAGGGATCACGCTCAGCAAAATAAGCCAGAAAGAAAAAGAAAAATACTGGATGGTGTAACTCATAGCAGGAATTTAGGAAACCTAAATAAAGGATGAGGAAAAAGACTGATTATAGCAAAAATAAAAATCAAAGTCAACAAGCAACTATAAACCAGAGACACACTGGGGGGTTGGGGGGAGGAGGGTAGGAGGGCTTAGAGTCAAAATAAGGGGGGTGGGAATTGTACAGAGACTATAACCAAGATGAAAATGCATACATTGTGCAAAAATGAAAAATGATGTAAAAATACATAAAATAAAAAAATAAAAAAAAACAAATCCACTTAATATAAAGTGGTGAAAGGAAAAAAAAAAATGTGAAGTAAAGCTCTTTAATACACCGACCTTTGGGACCTCCTTGGTGGTGCAGTGGGTTGAGCACAGCACCATGAAGCTGTCCACAGCCTCTGCAGCGTGGTTTCTATCGCCGCCCCACCCCACCTTCAGGGAGAATCCACTCCAGTCTTGCCCGCTGCTCCCCTCAGCAGTGTCCTTGGTCCGTCTGCCTGTTCTGATCCCTGCTCTGTCTCTAGTGAATTCTCTCAACCTCCTACGCATCTGACCTGTACCCCAGTTCTTGCATAAATAAATAAATCTTAAAAGAAAGACGTAAAGCTGCCAGCAGCCTCTGCAGTGCGGGTTTGATCCTGGCCGGCCAAGGAGAGTCCCACATGGCGCAGCTGAGCTACCCTGCCTTGCCTACTGCTCCCCTCAGCAGTGTTTTCAGTCCATCTGCCTGTTCTGCTCCCCACTCTGTCTCTGGTGAATCCTCTCACCCTCTCCCACCTCTGGCCTATACACCAGCTCTTGTATAAAAATAAATAAATCTTAAAAATGATGTGAGAAATATATAAAAAAATAAAATAAAAAAATAAAAAAAAAATCTTAAAAAAAATACTCACCTTTGCTAGTAATTTATTTTTTCCCAGGTGGAAACCTTATAACCAAAGTAATAGAAAATACCATACATCTGTTTCAGGAACTAAAGTTGCATGACAGCATTTGCAAGCAAGCAGTTTCTGGACTTGATCTCCACTATATAGGAAAATTTTTGAATATACCCCATCTTAAAAGTAAAAAACAAAACAAAACAAAAGAAGCCCCTATTTCAGTCGATAACCTTTGGTTAATAATCTGTTAACCCACTCTCTTTAACTGCAAAACTCCGTGTACATACTCTTAAAAAGTCATTATAGTTATTTTTTAATTTTCATTCATTGTTGATTTTTATAAACTCTTTGATTTCTCCCCTCAGCTGTAGTCCCTATAGCTCTCCCACCACCACAGCACCCGTGACCCATCACCTTAGTCCCTTGTGCTCTCCCCTCCCCTGCTGTATGCCTGAGATCAAGTCCAGCTGGCAAATTTTGTCTTTTGTTGGACATATTCTATTTTTACTGGAAATGTTTCAAAATTCCCAATCTTTTTCCATTTGGCTTTCTAGTGATCATTTATGAGTACCTGATCTTTGTGATGCCTAGATTTTATTCATTCATTTGTCTGGAATCATACATGAATAATTAGTTAGGCAAGGATGCAAACAGGCAATCACAGGTGAATGTTCCTGGCCCACATATTCTCTGACCTTGTCGTTCAATCGCCACTGTGTTGGACTCACCCTGGTGGGATTTCTGAGAGAAAGGTCTCCGTGTGGAAGTCTGAATTTCCCATTGGATGGTAGTGATGGAGACTCAGGCTGTGTTCCAGACCAGGAGTAAAAAGGAATAAGAACTGGTCCCAAGCTAAACCTGGCTCCCTGAAAAACAGAACTGAAACCCAAATCAAAACCATGCCCCGTTTATCTCAAGGTTACGCACTGGACAGGAGGTATTTACAGCTTCCACCTGTGCTCCTTGGCACATTTCCCTCTTGTGCCCTCTCAGCACATGATTCCCTTCGGACACTGGTCTGCATTGAAAGGAAAATTTTCTGCTGATTGCTCCCAAGAGACTAGGTTGGAGAGAAGTGAATAGTTTCTTTTGTGTTGGGTTTTACTCTTTTTCCGTGAACGCATTTTCTGTCAAGAGGTCTAAATTTCCTAGCACCTTGTTGCTTTGGGGAGAAGATCAGGGTGAGGCCGGAATTCGCCAGAGACAGAGTTGAGAACAGAACAGGTGGATTTGTTGAAATACACTGCTAAGGGAAGCAGTGGTGAGATGGGAGAAGTCTGTGTGAGAAGGAGCATATGAGGGTCTCATTTCTACTCTTATCCCTGCTTCCTCAAGGGGCTGCCAGTTTGCACTAGTTACCTGCTGGGATTCCTGGTCTCTGATACTGGCTTTTCATGCAGAAACATGTTCTGGCTTTCTCTTTTGTGTCCCTAGAGCTGGGCTGGTTCTTCTGGTTGTGGTGGTAGGTTTTATGGCCTTGTCCAGAGGCAACCTTATCCATTCCCTTATCCATTCCAGCCTTCCTAAGCTGCCTGCAGGGTCAGGAGTGGGGGCTTACTTTTTAACCTAAATTGTACCCTGAAATTATCTCAAATCTCAGGCAAAGTTTTCTCCATATTTATGACTGAGGAACTTGTCTTGTTAGGTCCCTTGTGTTTTCAACGTATTGAATTTTGATGCGGGCACAGCCATGATATCTCTAGAAAATTGCTATTCTACTTTTCAACAAGAGGGAAATTGTGTCCTTTGATATAAATCTTGGGTACCAAACTCCTTTGCTTTATGACACATTTGTTATTATAACAGTTACAAATCTCTTACTTATATCACAACTTAAGAGATGTCATACACTCCCTCATTTCAACATGTTTGTTAAGTCTAAGAGATACACCTATTGAAGCATGATGATCTGAGCTAAACCTCCCAGGTTTTGTTTGATTTCATTTATAGAAAAGTCCATCTTATGGTGTGGAACTAAACTTCAGAAATGGAGCTTAGAGAGGTTTAATGATCTATTAATATTATAATTGAAGTAGGGATGATACTTTCAGTTTGATTTGTCAGAATGCCTCCAGTTCTCAAACTTTGTGGTAGCAGTTCATAGAAAGAGATAAAAGTTTTCAAGCAGATATTTGGAAGGATGCTGCTAAAAGCTGCAATACACAGGATAGCCCTGATACAAATGCTATTTTGCACAAAATTGACAATGAGAAGGTGAGAAGACCTTTTCGATACCAACACTTCTTCAATTAGCATAGGAGTCACCCAGGCTGCTAGTATAAATGTGGGTTCTGATTCAGCTGGGCTGGTGTGCCCACAATATGCATTTCTTTTCTTTTCTTTTTTTTCTTTTTGCATGAGCATACTTCTTCCTGAATACTTTTTTGTTTTATTATTATTACTTTTTATTTTATATGTTTTTGACATCACTTTTCATTTTTGCACAATGTATGGATTTTCATCTTGGTTTTAGTCCTCGTACAATTCCCACCACCTTTGCTTTGATCCTACTTCTTTCTCCAAGCCCACCCCACCCCATAGTGTGTCTCTGGTTTACAGTTGCTTATTGATTTTGATTTTTATGCTGTTATAATTAGTCTTTTTCCTGGTCCCTTATTTAGGTTTTCTAAATTCCTGATATGAGTGAGACCATCTGGTATTTTTCTTTTTCTTTTTCTTTCTGGCTTATTTCGCTGAGCATGATCCCTTCCACCTCCATCCATGTTGCTGCTAATTGCATGAGTTTATCTTTTTTGATTTCTGAGTAATATTCCATCGTGTATATGTACCACATCTTCTTGGTCCAGTCATCTATTTTTGGTCATTTGGGTTGTTTCCATAGCTTACCTATTGTAACTAGTGCTGCAATAAACATAGGGGTGCAGGTGCCCTTTTGAATTAATGTTTCTGTGTCCTTGGGTAAATAGTTAGGAGTGGAATTTTGGATCGCATGGAAGCTCCATCTTTAGTAGGTTGAGGAATCTCCATACAGCTTTCCATTGTGGTTGGACCAGTTTGCACTCCCACCAGCAGTGCAGGAGAGTTCCTTTTCCTTCACATTCTCATCAACATTTGTTGTTGTTTTTTTAATATGTGCCATTCTCACTGGTGTAAGATGGTATCTCGTAATTTTGATTTGCATTTCCCTGATTACAAGTGATGTTTAACATTTTTTCATATGCCTCTTGGCCATTTGCATTTCCTCCCTGGAGAAGTGTCTTTTTAGCTCTTCTGCCCATTTTTTTTTACTGGGTTATTTATTTTGTTTTTGTTGAGGCTTGTCAACTCTTTGTAGATTTTTTTTGTGATCAGTCCTTCATCATTAGTGTTGTGTGCACAATTTTCTCCCAATTAGTTGATGTCTCTTTGTTTTGGTTACTGTCTCTGTTGCTGTACAGAAGCTCTTTAATTTGATGTCATCCCAGTTGTTTATCTTTTCCTTTACTATCACTGCTTTGGGTGATGTGTCTTTAAAGATGTTACTGAGGTGTATGTCATATAGTGTTTCGCCTATATTTCCTTCTTTATATTTTATGGTTTCAGGCCTTATGTCTAGTTTTTTAATCTATTTTGAGTTGATTTTTGTGCATGGTGTGAGGTAGTAGTCAAGCTTCATTCTTTTGCATGTAGCAACCCAGTTTTTCCCAGCACCATTTAGAACAAATTTCTTTGCTGCATTGCATATTTTTTGCCTGTTTTTCAATGATTAGTTGACTGTAAATCTGTGGGTTATTTCTGGATTTTCTATTCAATTCCTTTGGTCTGTGTGTGTGTTCTTGTTCTATACCATGCAGTTTTGATTATTATGGCTTTGTAGTATAGCTTGCAGTCTGGGAGTGTGATACCTCCATTCCCTTCTTTTTTTTCAGGAAAGGTTTGTCTATTTGGGGTTTTTGTGGCTCCATATGAATTTCATCAATATTTGTTCAATTTCTTTGAAGAATATCATTGAAATTTTGATTGAAATAGCATTGAATCTGTAAATTGCTCTTGGTAGAATGGCCATTTTGATCATGTTAATTCTTCTAATCCATGAGCAGGGGATGTCTTTCCGTTTCTTTGTGTCTTCTTTTATTTCTTTTAACAGTGTTTTATAGTTTTTTCATATTGGTCCTTTACTTCTTTTGTTAGGTTTATTCCCAAGCATTTGATTTTTTTGTTTCAATAATGAATGGGGTGGTTTTCTTAATTTCTTCCTCAGATTTATTGTTTGTGTATAGGAAGGCTGCTGATTTATTTATTTATTTATTTATTTATTTTTTTAATAGAGGCATGTTTTATTTATTTATTTATTTATTCATTTGTTTGTTTTGTTTATACATGCACTGGGTACAGTCAGAAGCGCGGGAGGGTGAGAGAATTCACCAGAGCCAGAGCGGGGAGCAGAGCAGGCAGAAGGACCGAAGTACACTGCTGAGGGGAGCAGCGGGCAGCAGGAGAGGTCTGCGCGCCCTGTGGGACCCTCCTCCGGTGGCTGGGGAGCAGCCGGGGATCGAACCAGCGCTGCAGAGGCTGCGGGCAGCTTCGCAACCCAGCGCTCAACCGCTGCGCCACCGGGGAGGCCCTATTTTTTTATTTTTAATTTTTTAATTTTTTAAGAATTTTTTTTTATATTCCCCATACAATTGCACCCCCCTTATTTTCACCCCATACCTCCACTCCTGGCCCCAACCCATAGTGTGTCTCTGGTTATAGTTGCTTGTTGATTTTGATTTTTTATTTATTATAGCTATTCTTTTTCCTGGTCCCTTATTTAGGTTTTCTAGATTCCTGCTATGAGTGAGACCGTCTGGTATTTTTCTTTTTCTTTCTGGCTTATTTCGCTGAGCATTATCCCTTCCAGCTCCATCCATGTTGCTGCAAATTGCATGAATTTATCTTTTTTGATTGCTGAGTAATATTCCATTGTGTATATATAGCACATCTGCTTGGTCCAGTCATCTGTTTTTGGGCATTTGGGTTGTTTCCAAAGCTTAGCTATTATAAATAATGCTGCTATAAACATAGGGATGCTGGTGCCCTTTGGAATTAATGTTCAGGTGTCCTTTGGGTAAATAGTTAGGAGTGGAATTGTTGGATCATATGGAAGCTCCATCTTTAGTAGGTTGAGGAATCTCCATACAGCTTTCTGTTGTGGTTGGACCAGTTTGCACTCCCACCACCAGTGCAGGAGAATTCCATTTTCTCCACATCCTAGTCAAATTTTGTTGTTGCTAGTTTTTTAAATATGTGCCATTCTCACTGGTATAAGATGGTATCTCATGGTAGTTTTGATTTGCATTTCCCTAATTACAAGTGACGTTGAACATTTTTTGATATGCCTGTTGGCCATTGCATTTCCTCTTTGGAGAAGTTCCTTTTTAGTGCCTCTGCCCATTTGTTGACTGGATTATTTTCTTTGTTTTTGTTAAGTCTTGTCAGCTCTTTGTAGTTTTTAGTGATCAGTCCTTTATCATTAGTGTTGTATGCAAAAATTTTCTCCCAGTTGGTGGGGCTTCTCTTTGTTTTGGTTATTGTCTGTTTTGCTGTGCAGAAGCTCTTTAATTTGATGTAGTCCCAGCTGTTGATCTTTGCCTTCACTATCACTGCTTTTGGTGATGTGTCTGTCTGTAAAGATGTCTTTGAGGTGCATGTCATGTTGTGTTTCGCCTATATTTCCTTTTATATATTTTATGGTTTCAGGTCTTATGTCTCGTTCATTAATCCATTTTGAGTTGGTTATTGTTATGGTGTGGGGTAGTAGTCAAGCTTCATTCTTTTGCATGTAGCGACCCAGTTTTCTCAGCACCATTTACTGAACAAACTTTCTTTGCTCCAGTGCATATTCTTTGCTCCTTTTTCAAAGA